CTAACTATGTGTTTGGTAAGAGGCTAAATAAAGTTTATTCTGCAGCTCAGAAACATGCACTGATGAGGCAGGATTCTGGAACAATGTCCTCACACAGTTTGAGTTAATGCTGCTCCACACCACCTGGCCTTGACGCCTGCTTGGGCCAAGAGCTGCAGACCACAAGCAGCATTGCTGCTCTTCCCTCTCACCAAGAATCATCTCTGCTCAGCATCTTTCCATTTTTTACAAACACAGGGGCCTCTAACAAATGATGAATACCTTCTTCATTTTTACCTGCATTTGACAAACTGAGTATTTGCAGATTACAAACTCAGCCTACACCGAAGTTGCCCTGAAGAAGAACACACAGAACTGGAAGAATAGCATTTTTAGGTACCCTCTTCCTCCTTGCATCCTTCCTCCTTCCACATGATACAAAATCATCTGGTGCAAGATTTGCAAACGGCATTCTGAGAAACATTTTGAAATAGTCACCAGAAAGAGGTTACGTTCCTCAAATCTTTTGGAGTGTGGCACAGAATTACATTTACCCCCTGTGTTCCTTCCCCTGTGATTCCCCAGGTTGTCACTGCAGCTGGGAGGATGCAAACATGAGAAGAATCTTTCAAGAAGAGCTGTATTTCTGTGTGTCCTTCCTAGGCACCACAGCTCTCTCTGCTTTTCAGCAGTTTTGTTACATGATCACATAAAAAGAATATCTGGTTTCTTCAGGATGAGATTACCAGCTACAAATATTTTAAGGGACTTCAAAAAAATGTTACCTTGTACTTAGACTCTTAGGAAAGATCTCCAGATTTTCCTGGAATGTGAGCTGCAGACATCCATTGCTTTATCTTTCTCCAGGGAAGTCCTTGTGCTTGGACTCAAAGTGTTCTCAGGTACACAGCCAACTTCTGTGATATGTACAGAAGAGCACGAAGTTCAACTTTCATTAAAAATGCCTAGTATCATTGCCCTGGATATCCTGGTATGAGACAAATCATGTGCACATGCTTTAAAGGGTCTCATTTTACCTCAGTAAATCCAGAGGAATTCCCAACACCATCCAGAAACTCACAAACACACCAGTTATGACAGTCAGGTAATCTACTTGGAAACTAAAATCACTCAGTTACTGACAGAATTAGAGATAAATTTCATTGGTAGACAACCCTCACATGAATGAATCACACTAGAGATGCCTGTGGAAATGGAAAAAAGGAAGTCCCCTGTTCCTGCTCTTCTCCTACCCTCTCCTCTACAACTCTGCTTTAGAGTTCCCAAAATGTATTAAAATAAAGCATTAAATAAACTAAGTTCAAAATTATTATTTCTATCAAGCGAAACAAACTTTCTCTTACATTCAGAAGCTGTTCAGGTTGAGGAGATTTATTCTGCTCCCAGATTGCAGAGTACACGACACAGAGCCCGAGGAATTTTCTATAATTGGACAGTACCATTTAAATGTCAGCTTTGAGAGCACAACTAAACAAGAGTCACACCTAAAACACTGCTATTAAACAGCCAGTTGACATGTTCCCTCACAGCATTCTAACCAGCACAGAGGTAGTGGCAGGAAAGAACAAAAACAGAATAGCTCAACATGAGGAGTGCCCGACAGGGTGGTGGAAGGATTCTCCTGTTGAAATTTCCCAAAGAATCTAACTTTTGCAATGCTGTTGTACAGAAATGCTAACAGAAAATGTTAATGCTTGACAAGTACCCCACTGTAATAATGCTTGATAAACCACAGAGTCCCACTGACCCCAAACCCCCAACCACTTGAAAAAGCAGAAAACTGTTAGAAAATCAGCAACAAAAGATCATGAAGAAGGAACAATGAAAATCTAGCTAGCCTAAACCAGAAAATACTCATCAGATATTTCAGGGAGAAACTGTTACTAAAAACATAAGCAGGAATTGGTCACAATTTAGGGATGCATTGTAAAGATGTTTCCTAAGGCATTATTTTGTCAATGTGACCCTAACAATAAAACATGGGCAATTACTCTACAGCAAATTTTTTTTCTAAGTTTTTTGTTGGCTTTTTAGCTAATACAGCAAAAATTCTGTCAGTGCTATTGTGTTCTCCTATAAGGGCTTTCCTTAGAAGGAAGAATATTTATTTCCTTAGTGCAAATGGTTCTTCAAAGCCAAGTCCTGGAATACCACACTTCCAACTGGAGCTGGATAAGCTGCCATGTGTTATCACCAGCCTGAAGCCAATTTGCCATCGATGGAATGCAGTATCACAGCTGGGAAAATGCCTGGCGTGCTGCACAGCCTCTCAAGGATGCCTGAAAGCTCACAGAGCCTCAGCTACCCCCACCTCAGACCCACCCATGCACTCACAGACATCCCAAGACTCCCCCAGCTGTACCTGGGCTCCTTGGTATTCCCCTTTTCTGTCATTCTTCAAAGCCTGACCAGCATTTCTAAACCTTCTATTCTGCTTTTTCTCACACACACTCACTCCTTTTTCTTTTACTCCAAAGCACTCCAGCCTGAATCCCTGGAAGTTGGTTCACCTCGTGCAAAGCTTGTGACCTTAACAGAATCACACGGATCAATTCCCCAAAATTTATCTTAAATAACCAACACACTAATTCATTAATTACAGCAGGGTAAGACCAGATTGACACTCCAAGATCACAGTTCTCAAAACAATTTGTCTAGTCACATTAGTACTCTTCGAAGTGAAACACACCTCATTACTACTAAAATCATCATTTTGAAGTTCCATTTTAAAATTCTTTTTTTCTCTCCTCGCTTTAATCACCATTTTGACAAAATCCAAGGACTGGACTAAACCAGTTTATCCACAGAACATTACAAGACTGGAATCCTATCAGACCAAATTGGCAATTCACCTGCAAAGCAGAATTTGTGAATGGAATATGTCCTATTCCCCAACACACACCTTAAGGGCTTCTTTGATGGCTGAAAGGACAAACGTCTAAACAGCTCCTAATGTAAAACTGTCTTGAGGTACATGAACAGCAGAAGAGAAGAAACACAAAGCCAGAGGTGCAACAAACACAACTTCAAGCTTCTTCTCCGTGAGTGTGAAACCCATCTTTAACATATTCTACTTAATTTTCAATACATGTTTTCATCCTCCAAGACAGAATTTCAGATTTTACAGGTATCAAGACACAGGACCTTCTATGGTTTAGATCCACATTCCCCACTAAGTTTCCAGCACATACAAAATTCAAACAGAACCTGGAATGCACCGTGGCCCAGAAGCATGGGATTGCCTGCAGCTTGTCAGCAAAGGCCTGGGAAGGGCACCCAGACACATCACCTAGCTCTAGGAGGAGCAGAGCAATTACAACACAGTTCTGTCAAGTGCAGCAGCGCCAGTTGCCCTCAGAGGCAGCCCCAGCAGAGCACCCTGTGATGAGGTTACCCATGCTGCTGGAAATGTCATCTTTCATGTTCAACATAAACCCCTTCTGTAGCTAATAACAATACCCTGGCATTGTTTGCCACACGTAGGTTGTTGCACTGGCTAACACCCAATCCCAGTAATAATATTCTATCTACCTACAATCACCACAAAAAATGCTCATTCTCTGCCCTGACTGGTGCTGCAGCACGGCAGCAAGCTCTGAGAGCTGCCACACTCCAGGTTCTGTATCTCCCTGTGCAGGTACCTGTCTGCACTGATCAGACACTTCTCTAGAACTCTAGAAACACCTTGAGATTACTGGGAATAAAGGAGCTCTTTTCATACAGCACAATTAGTCATATCAGCAGTGATAGCTATTTTGAGCAGCACCCATTAATCACTATCATTAGCAGGATTTCTGGTGTACCAGCATTCATTGTACCAAGAACAAGTCTTTTCCTATTACAGTACTACCACACAAACAAAAGCAGCAGCACGATTTCTCTTGACATAACCCTGTTTTGAGTAAGGCAAGTGGCAGCACTTAAAATGACTGTAGTGTCAGATTTAAAAAAAAGCTTACTTAGGACAGAAAAATACAATTGTTTCGCTGCAAAGAAAAGCTGGCCGTCATTTATACGCTGAGGCAGAAGGAGTGTTGAAAAATAATAAATAGCAGGAAGAAGTGGGGAATAAAGATCTCAATCTGGAGACAGCACACCCTCAGAAAAATAAGATGCCAGTGACCAAGCCCTAGCTGACATCCAAGAAGCAGAAGAAACCTAGACTTCATGTTTACATGTTGGTAGCACACATTTGCCTTATTACATTTTATGAGGGATTATTTACCTGCTAGCCAAATTTCAGAGTCTCAGAACAGACTTTCAACTAGAAAAATATTCTCCATATGCATTGTTTCCAGTTTCCTAACCACCCTGAGTAACCCCTGATGCAGAATGAGCAGCCAGCAGAAGCATTCCTGCCTTACACCAACCAAGGGAGCAGCACCACGAGAGGCACAGAAAGCAGTGGCTGTGAGCTGCTCCAGCCTGGCTCCTCCAACACCAGGAACACAAAACACACCTTCACCCCAACCAGACATTAAATACTTAGAAAGGTCTGCTGGGAAGGAAAGAACAGAAAATACAGGAAGAAAAGAAAAACCTCCTGCAAGTCATTAACGTGGAAAACTTGCCATTCTTTACAAAAGGGTCTAACTTTATCTTCTGTAGAAACACTGCCCGGTAGAAGACCCGAGCCAAGTGCAAAATCATGTTGGTACCCATGAAACACAAACAGCACCTGTGCACATACCAAAACGGGCCAACACTGCTGATCCCATGAGCTGCACACCAAAACCTTCATGCGGCCAGGAGCCACACAGCACACACCTCAGAGAGGTGAGGGAAGGGGAGCTTCAGCCGCCTGTGCCCACAGAAAACAAATACAGTTCCTCAAGAGCACCACTACATATTTGCCCACAGCACTGAGCTGAGGAAACACAAACATCCAGCAACAATAGGCTGAAAATCCAGCAGCTGTAGATGAGAGATTGTCCAAGGGCAGCCGGCGGTTCCAGATGCAGTGCCATTTTGGGAGGCAAGCCCCAGCCCGTGCCAGCTGCATGTGCCTCCGGAGGAGCCACCCGGTAACACCAAGTTTACTGCAGCTGAGGTATGGCCCTCGTCACAACACCCAGACATCTGTGCCTCCAATAAAACCAGTAATGATAATAATAACGGCCAATTTATACCTCCGACAGGGTTTATAACCTCACATAAAACAAACAAATAAGACCTTCCGACTGCTTTCAAGCTCCTAAGCCGACATTCACCCGACAAATACATACCTCTACCATTTCCTCTCCGCTCAAACGAATAAAACCCCTCAAGCAGGCAGAAGCAAGGGAGCATTGGTAAACTTTGAAGCTACAGCCCAAAATGCGTTATCCTCTTCTGCTGGCAGCTACCATATGCACCCAACATAAGGCTCGGCAACAACAAGCAGCACTCGCAGCTCGCATCAGGTGAAGGATCGGTACGCAGCCCCTGCAGCGCCCGGGGACGCCGCTGCCCGCAGGCCCCGGCGCGGGGGGCGCGGAGCGGCGCGGGGGCCCCGAGCCCGGCCGGGCTTTGGGCGGCGCCGCTGCCGCGGTGCCCGGGGAGCTTCGGCCGGCGCCGCCCGGGAGAGGCCGCGCGGCGGAGCCGCCCCAGCACCGGGGGCCGGCGGGGCCGGGCCGGGCGGGCGCCCCGGGTCACCGTGGAGCAGGAAGGTGCGCAGGAATTCCCGCAGGCGCAGTCCCGGCCCCGCCGCGCTGCCCGGGCTGCCCGCACACGGGTCACGGGGGGGCGGCCGCAGCCCCCGACACCGCCCCGCGCTGCTCCCGACACCGCCCCGGGCTACCCCCGACACCGCGGTCGGCCCGGCCCGGCCCCGCCGGGGCACCGCGGCCACGGTCCCGGGCACCGCCGCCTCGCCTCCCCCCGGCCGGGGCTCCCCCCGGCCCCAGCCCCCGCCGGCGCCTCCCGAGCGGCCCAGGGGCTGCCCCGGGCGCTGCCGCCCTCCGCGCCGCGTCCCCCCGGCGCGGCGGGCGCTGCCAGCCCGGTGCCCGCCCGGCCGGGCCCGCGGGCCGCGCTGCGGGGCTCGGGCGGGGGGGGCCGGGCCGGGCCGCGGGGCTCGGCGGGGTCGGCGCGGCGCTCACTCACCTGCCCGCGACAGCCCCGGGCCCCGCGCCGAGCGCTCCGGAAACGGCGGCGGCTCCGCCGGGGCCGGGGAGGGGCCGGCGAGGGGCGGGCGGAGCCGCGAGTGACAGCGGGAAGGGGCGGTGGGAGCGGGCGGGCGGCGCCGGCCGCGGGCAGCGGGGCCGAGGGGGCGGCGGGGACGGCCCCGGCACCGCGGGGTTCGGCGGGGGCGCGGAGAGCCCGGGACCGGCCCCGGGTGCGGGGGAACAGCCCGAGGGGCGGCCCGGCGGCACAAAGAGGGAGAAGGGCATGAATTAACCAGGGAATATTTTATGTGAGCTTAAAACTGTGAGGGTTCCCACTGTGTTGTTTTGGGGTCAGATGCAGCGTCCCGGTTCAGGAGAGCTGGTCGAGGTGGAGATCGCCGGCGGCACCTGCAAGGTTCTGAATTCCTTTTCTGTCCAAAGTCACTTGCTGAACAAATTGCAGGGTTCAGCACTGGTGTTCAATGCATTTATTTGTAAAACGCACAAACATCATCCCAAACTGATCCCTTTGACATAATTGTCATGGTGCTACCAGCTTTAGGAATTGTTGAGAAATAGGCCTGGTCTAGGATGTGACTTTAAACTGCTTTCGTATTATTTCTCAGGCTTAATGCAGGTTTTATGCAGAAAAATTTGCTGTACAAAATGATGTATTTTCAAATCCTATTTCTACAGAGTCTCTGTTTGTCCTGTCTTCCTTAGTAAAAGGCGATTGCTTTTTATTTCTGTGACTTATTTAGAATCTTACCTTCTAAATGGAACAAGCATTTAATGATGTACAGAAATGTCTAGTAGAGTTAGAAAATAAGGCAATGTGTAGTAGTAGGAGAGTAGTTTTAAACTGTTAAAATACATGTAAGCAAAATTTTTGCCTACAGGGCTCAGCATCCAATCATCTGTCTCTCATTCCCCCCCCCAAAAAACCCCAAACCCACACACTTGGCTATGATACTCATCAAGTGAAAATAACAGCAATTTCAGTGCTGCTAATCAGAAAACTCTGTGGGAAGAAGTGAAATTGTCAATTTATTGGACACCTTCTAGCCACAAGCTAGAAATAGTCCTCAAGTAGTGTCTGCGGGGAGCTGCCTGGGAGCAATCTGTGGCTTTGTTTCCTTCTCCAGAACAGATGGTTGCTGGCAGAGCGGGCTCCTCATCAGTGCCTTCCCTCTGAACCCTTCTGATTCTTGTATGTCTACTAAGCATGTCTCTTCCTAGTAAATTGAGTCCTCAAATTAAAAGATACCTGGGAAATACTTGGAAAGACACAAGGGAACAGAAGGCTGTCATATTGTTGGTTCCTTCAAGAGAGAGAGAGAGAGAGAGGTGTTGAGTATTCTTTGTACAGGAAGAGTACAATAAAGGGCTGGAGATGGTAAATTTTTTACCTTTTTTTCTCCTTTGAACTAAATGGTTGCTAAGACATTGATTTTGAAAAAAAAAAAGATAGAAAGACTGATGAGGTTTCAACAAGGTTTTGTTTGGAAGAAGGTATAGCTATGAAGTGGAAAAACGGAGTGTAAAGGGAGTCAAAAGAAGCTGAAGAGGAAGGCAAAGAGAAAATAAAGTACTGGGATGAATTTTCCTTCCTTCCAGGACAGATATTGAGGCAAGACCTAAAGGTAATCTAAAAAAAAAAACCACAAAATTCCTCGTTTTACCAACATGCAGTTTTACCAAGAGATCCCAACACTACAGGAGCCATGCTGACTAAAGTTCCTGTATTCACAGGCAGAAATCTGTTCTGCAGACTGAGTCTTACAGCTCAATACACCAATGTGTTCTTTCTCACTATCTGCAGATATCCAAATCTGTTTCTATTCTGTTATCCTACAGATTTAATTGTATTCAGTGAGTGTGCAGAAAGTGGTTCTGTCCACACTAACAGTGGAGTTACACACAATAATAATATTTTTTATTCTGACTCCCTGGATATATTTACATATTGTTATAGAGTATTATTTGTTTTTGGATTTTTTTACAGTTCTGTATAACAACTTTCAACATATAACTATCTCTAAATGAGCAGACATTTCATTTGAAATTTACTGCAGATTAAATTTATAGATTGAGAGCATAAAGGCACAAAGGAGGTGTAAGAATTGTAGCCTAAAGTTAATATGTCTTACCAGATGGCAGGAATTTTAGACAGACTGTGAAATAAATAGGAAGTTCACACTTCCTGATATACACAGGGCATGAAAACATGCAATTCAACAGAGTGTATAATAACCAAGGAAGAATAAAGAGGAAACTCTCAAGGGCTACAAAATATGTGGTGTAGGTATCTATTGTGACATTGTACATTAAAATTATTTTTCTGAGGTCTTACAATGCAATATTTAAAATGAGTAGTCTATTTTTAAAATTTTGTGAATTCTATTTTGAAAGATAGCAGTATGATTAACTATTTAGTACAGTCCTATGTAGATCAGCATAGAATAGATGTATTCAGTTATGTTTTCCCCATTGATGTTACATATAAGAGAAGAGTGCTTTCCAAGACCTCCCTTGAACAGGAAGGGAAGGAAATCAGTGCACAGTTTAAACAAAAAAATATAACAATGTTTTTTAAAAAAAAGAGGAAAGCAGTTTTGAAATGTATTATGAGTACAACTCAGTGTCATGGGCTGTAGGAGGAAGAAATCATTAGCTTGGGAAAAGAGCAGCACTGGCACAATGGCCATGTGCAGATGTTAATAAGGATATGCCTATCAGCAAGGTGTGGGATAAGATTAGGAGGATGAACGTTAGTAATATAATCCCCAAAGAGTGTGTTAAAGGAAAAACCTCATTCACAGGAGGTTGTTTCTGTTAACCAGATGGAGATGTGTTTAGGAAAAGGAAATGTGGGGAAAACCAGGGTGATTTTGGAAAACAGACTTGACCACTAATGTCCTATTGTATGAGCAGTGATTTTCCCTTTGTGGTGGGTGATTGCTGTGGATGCTGCAGTGGGAGCGTGTTGGAGTGCAGGACGAGCAGAGCAGGGTTCCCTGCTGTTTGGGCTGTGTGTGCAGGTGGAGCTGAGCACACAGCTCTGGCTGGGGCCCTGGTGTACAGTCTGTACAGTGTGTCACAGCCCTCGTGGCCACAGCCTGACCCTCTCCTGCTGCCTGCATGTTTGACAATGCAGGCATACATGTAGGCAAATCGGCCTTCTAAAAATACATTTCACAAATCATCCATTCCAGCTGTCAGGGTGAGAGCAGTCCTTTTGTCCTGCAGCCCTGGACAACGAAAATCCCATTTCAGACAAATGAAATTGAGTCCTTTTCTGCCTGCCAGCAAAGCTGCTGACCTGTGCTTTGTGCCCTCAGTGCTCTGCCCACCATTGTGTCCAACCTGAGGCTTAGCACACACTTGGCCTCCTGCCCAGGCCTCTGTAAACAGCAGCAACTGGCAAAACCAGGCGTGGGCAGAGCCCCCAGAGCTCTCTGGAGCTGCTCCTGCTGCTCCCTCCACAGGGCCAGTCCCATCTGGAAACACTGAGCGTGGCTGGCTATAAATGGCCACCTAAAAATAAAAGAGGGACAATCACCTTTTCTTGTCAGACAAATCAAAGATCCAGGTCACCTTAAAAAATGCTGAGCTGCAAGCCATACTGGTTATAGAGAAAATAAAGAAGTACATGAAGTATATAAACCTCTGAATCCTGCATGGATCAGCCCAGTTGTGATCGAACTGAACGGAGGCCACTGACTTCAGCTGACACTGGATGTGTCCCATGACCTTCTGGTTTATATATTTAGATTCCCCATACTAATCTTCTCTTCCACGGGTCTGATGTCATCACCATTATTATAAGCAGAACTTGTGACTTGATTGACAGCAAACAACCTTTCCAAAAAGTAGCCAAGGAGTGAGAATGTTTTGTCAGAGTGACACATGATCATGACTGCCTGCAGTCCATTTTTGTTTACAGGCAGTGGAAGAATTTCAGATATTTATAAGGTCAGTGTCCCTAGTCCAGAGAAGAAGGAGCTGTGTTTGGTTTTAAATTGTTCTTCTGCTTACAGAATTGACTTCCAGTTGGGCTTGAGTGAAGGACTAGGCTCTGAGGTAAATCCTTTGCCTGCTGCAGCCTGGAATGGGCTGCTCCCAACGGCACACACAAAGGGGTCACTGGCTTGCCATATTTTTGCTTTAGGAAGTCAAATACTTAAACATATGCATAATTCTTTTTGACTGTCCGGTGATTCAGATGTCTGGGATCCTTGTTTTATTTTCCTTTTTTTTTTGAAAACTTTCACAAAAAGGCATCAGCTTGCAAAACCACAAAAATGTACTTCTCAGCCAGCTGTGGTAAAATAGTTTGCATGGCCATCTCAATACTGGAGAAATCTTTATATTTAAAAAATCATTCTGATGATTAACAAATGAACATGAATTCATTTTCAGTAAGGCATTAACAATTGCCTTAGAACCATTCAAGGTATGCTGCAAACACAGAGGAGCTGAGAGAATATTTGTGAGACAAAATAACTGTTCATACTAGAACTTCAAATATTGTTTTAAAACAGATATGCTGCAAATGTGGGTCTGATAACTAGACTTGAGGGGGTTTTTTTCCTATTTAATTTGGCATTTAAATATACGGCACAATAAGATTTGACAAAAAGTAAAATGTAAATCTATGTAACTGACCCCACTCATTAACAGGGTGTTAAGGACTTGTAGTATTACAGAGTCCAAATACTATTTAGGAAGAAGTGAAACAAAATTTAGAATTAATTCTAGAACATTTGTAAACAGGCATAGAAAAATAGTGTCCTACTACTGAATGTTAGAAATTAGAGTCTGACCACCAAATGATGTTGTGTTTGTTTGACCTCGTTCAACTGATTCCGTTAAAGGGTTGTATGTTTCAAATAACAAAATTTGACTTTTTTAGTAAATATCTTATATTGGATATAAAATTGCTGCTTTAACAGTGTATACAAAACATTTTACCATACAAATAGTAAATTTTACTTAACTTACGTTAATATAAATACACAAAAATAATACATGTTTATAAATACATATAAATATTTAAAGTGGTCTAGAAAGAAGCCTAAATGGCAGTTTTAAATCATTTCCATGTGGTAATTCCTGTATCATGGGATTGTTGCAGGGGGACTGGATAGGGGCCCAAATGCTATTGCATTGACTTAGTGCCCTTTTTGTCAGGGCACTGTAACAAAGGCAACTGAATTTCAGCTGCCTTAGTGGTACTGTTATTACCTTTTGCCTATACAGATTTTTATTGTGGAAGACTGCCAGATAAGGAGCAATTTTGTAATTGAGAACATGGAGTTGTGAAAGTAGTTTGAACAGAAGGATAAGAGGGAAACATATAAGTTAATATTTTATGGATGAAACTTTGCTGAATTACTTGATGGCATAG